CGAAGATTCCAGTTTGCCATGTCCCTAGGGATCATAAGTCCGCGCTGCCAATACGTTTCGGGTCACGTGGTCCGAGCGAGTCTCTCCTATAGAGGATCTCTGAGAAAAAAACAGAAATTTGTATCGGGCGTGAAAACGCAAGGAGGTTAAAATCAATTTGTTGAGAAGCGTTGCGTCTTTTTTTTAAAAAGTGATTTTAGTGTATTTATCTGTAGTATGGTAGAATTACGGGGGAACGAGCACAGAAATTCCATTCCAGCTGATGATTTGTCACTACCCAAATCTGAGTAGTGCTTCTGATAGGTTAAAGAAAGTTTCCCTCGCGGCATAACTAATCAGAAGCACTACGCAGATCATCAGTATGGTATTTCAACCTCGTCCCCAGGTTCTCTCTCATGTATTTCTGAGAGGTCCCTCAGACGTCATTTCGCTGGGAACCAAGTGGTGGCGTCGAGAAATGTCGGCAATTTTTTCAGTCTACTATAAACCCGAACTGCTCTTCTCATATTTTTTGTAGAAACAAGCCTTCGTGGATGTCAGCTTAATACAGTTTTCACTGCTAAAAAGTTTGTTTGATTAATACACGGACGTACACGCAAACTCATACCCCCACCGTAGTATATGGGGGTGGGGGGGGGGTGAATGGAACCCGGAGTTTTTTGATATGTTACAGTATTTCGAAACGATTTTATCTTGAGTGGAAAGTCTTAAGATGAGGTATATTATACGGGTGGTGGCACTGCTGGAGGCCTGTGACGTCACCAGGAATGGTCGCCATCTTGGCTGCCATCTTGGATTTCACCAAGAATTAGAAATCAGGTTAAAACCGCGAGAAACGGTTTTTTTTTGCTTTACATGAAAAATAAGACAGAAGTATGCACTTTGCATGTTTTTAGCCACAAGATTTACTTTTATTGTTAAAAGAAGTTGAAAAAACATGTATTTTACATGTATAATCACTATTTGTCCCCCCTGGGCTTCCGTTCATGCAGATCCCAGGGGCTGTAAAATTATAAAAATGGACGTATAGTGAAAAAGGAAAACGGTCGAAGGACGGGCTTCTGAGTTCGACTTCATCCAACTTCATTTTTTTCACGGTGACATAAGAGACTCTCGCAAATAAGACACTTTTCACGGGAAACAAGCCGTCCTATTTAGAAATCTACTCGGGAAAGAGTTGACTCAAGAAATTAAAGGAGATGGAGGCTCCATTTGATGGGCTTCCTGCTCGAGTGTATTCATGCAGCACCCTACGCATGCAGAAACACAGACCGGCCGATACATAAATGAAACTAAATTCCAGATTCAAAATTCCAGTTTGTCTAATTCCGTTACCATGTGGCCAATGCGTTTTAGGTCACGTTGTCCGGGCGAGCAGTTCCCCCGCGTCTCGGATACATTGGCCGAGAATGCCTGAGAAGGCGCCGTACAGGGACTAGGCAAGATTCTAGTACACGTGACGTTTTTGAAGACGAAACTGATATTTGCATCGAGCATGAAAACGCAAGGCGTTTAGGGGAGATGACGTGTAAGGGTCGTCACGGACGAAGGACCTCTTGAGTGGAGCTTCTCGTGTACTCTACATCGATTTTTCTTCGTTTTTTAATATTGTCTTATTCGGAAGCCATTGAGTAGAAATCAATATGTCAGGTGACCGTAGCTCGGTTTTTGAAGTGTTTTTAGTGTATTTATCTGTGTTAAGTAGGCAGAATTGCAGAGAAACGAGCGCAGAAATTCCATCACCAGCTGATGATTTGTCACTACTCAGTTCTGAAAAGTGCTTCTGATTTCTCTCGCGGCACAACCAATCAGAAGTACTTCCCAGATCATCAGTGTGGAATTTCCGCTCTCGTCCCTCCGAACTGTTCTTCTCATATGGGTGGCTGTTGTCACTGAAACGAAGGTAATTATGCTTAGAATTTACACGTGTATCTAACTAGTAATGGTTGACACTACAGCTGTCCCCACACTGTACGCACTGTATGTTGTCGGTCAATAGTATTTTTGCTCGTTGTGAAGGTCTTTGAAATATACCTATTCATAATGAAGATTTTTACAAATATTCCACACCCAGTAGGTGAGGTAAAAGCAGGAAACGCAAGGTTCCATGCACTTATGCAGCTCGATTTACACAGCTTTGATAAAAATATCTGGGTTTCGCCTGGGTGCGCCTTCCCTCCCACTGCCCCCTCCCAGTTTAGATGGCCTGCTGCTTTCTTATACAACTTTGTACTCTGCATAACATAACTATGTGGTTTATTGGTGTTAAAGTAGGACATGAGACGAGGTTAAAGAAGTTATGTTTAACTTCGTAATAATGGTTGTTTGGCACGTCACGTCAGCAGTCAGTTACGCCTTTCCTTAGTGTTGCAACCGCTCGATTCCAAACAAAAATCCGGTATCCGCCCCTAAAAGATTTGATTAGAAGCTGGAATTAGAGTAGAATTTAATTGGCGGCGAATTTTTGTAATCGTCCATCGTTCTGCTAGATATAAGCTAGCCGTCCTCTTTGTCTGTTGACTAGGTCTTATTCCCCCTAAGAACGAGAATTTAAAGAGCCTCTGGCAAATTGTTTCCAGTCAAAGATTTGGGAATAAACTACTCGTTTCTGGCAAAACTCTTCAGGTATTTGTACATACACAGCTATACGCACCTTATAACTACATCTGTGCTTCACGAGTGTCTTTTGTTCCATAACTTTCTAAACAGCTGCTCCACAGATTGTCACTGATGAGAACACGCGAACGCAAAAGAGTATCAATGACTGTACAATACGAGTCACAAAATCATGACATCATCCTAACCGTCTCTTACTTGCAGGCGTAAACAGCAGAAACGTCATCATTACCTAACTATTCCGTGCGGCCTCTGATCAAGCAAATCGAGAGTATTTTTAGCATACTGACTGTATATTTTAACTGTAAGTACTCTTCTATAGTAACTCGTGAGCTACTTGGATGCCTCCTCAGTAGTATAGGAAATGCTGCCATCTGGCTCACCTCACTTTTTCATACTGACTCATCTCACAATGTCGCTCTCTTGTTCACTCATTTCGCAAAACTCGTTCGCTTCGCTCACTCGTATTGCTCCATTCGTTCACAAGTATCGCTCCATTGTTCGAATAGTCAGTATGAAAAAGTGAGGTGAGCCAGATGTCAGCATTTCCTATACTACACTACTCTACTCTCCCTCCCTTACTCTATGATTAGATAATTATTTATTTAGAAGCAGAAAATATAAAATTGAATTAAAGAAATAATATAAACTTATTATAAGAAGCCATGTCAAATCAGTTAGATAAACAATTACAGAATATGTCTTTAGATAAAATAAAACAAATGGTAAAACAAGAAAAGGAAGGACTTAGAAAAGATTATAAAGAATTAGAAGAAAAGAGAAAATTAATTAAAAAATATAAAAAAATAAAGGAATTTAGAAAAAAAGTTAAACAAGGAAAAGTTATAAAAAAGAAACCCCCACCTTCCAAAAAGATAAAAACATTTGAAGATTATTTTGAGGAATGTATAAAAAATAAAAAGATTCCTAAAGATACTCCTTCTTATTTACGAGAAGCTCTTGAGAGAGCTATAAGTGAATATGAGCAAGGAATTGAAATAGAGAAATCAGCTTTAGATGAATTTGCTAAAAAATATATTATCAAGGGAGAACCTGGTATTACTCCCTCAAAGTTTTTTGAAAATAAATTATCTATTCTTAAAGATTTTCTTAGAAATCATCGAAATATTAAAGTAAAGTTTGTTTTGGTTTGTATGATGGAAAAAAAGGAAGGTGATTATAAATTAAGTATTAAAGCTCAGGATAAAGCATATTTTCATTCTAATACATATATTAATTTTAAATCAACCGATGTAAAAAAATTACTTAATGATGTTATTAGTGAAATCACTGACAAAATTTATAATTATCAAGAAAATGGTAGTGGGTGGTATTTTAAAGAAGTTGTTCAACTTGAAATTCATACAACTGAATTTAATCCAATGAAAGGTTCTTCTTATATTCCTCTTCCAGATTGGATTATGAGAAAAAAAGCAATTGTTAGTATTCGAAATAAAGATGAGAAATGTTTTCTTTGGTCAGTACTTCGTTATCTTCATCCAAGAGAAAATAATGATTGTCGTTTGTCAGATTTAAAAAAGTATGAATTTTCACTTAACACTAAAGGAATTACTTTTCCAATGAAAGTAAAAGACATTACCAAATTTGAGAAACTTAATCCAGATCTTCCAGGAATAAACGTTTTTTATGTTGATGATAAAAAGACTATTAAACCTTTGAGAGAGGTAAATAGAGGTTGTAAAAATACTATTGATTTATTTTTGTATGAAGAAGATGGTAAATTTCATTATTCACTAATTAAAAACTTCTCTCGCCTTATACGTAGCCAAATTACTACAAGAACAGATGAACCAATTCAAATTTGTAAGAGATGTTTTAGTCATTTTACAAAGGAAGAATTATTAGATAATCATATTAAATATTGTAGTAATAATGCAACAGCGTTTGTAAAAATGCCTGAAACAAACACAATGCTATATTTCAAAAATTATTACAAAAAACTTCCTGTTCCTTTTGTAGTTTATGCAGATTTTGAATGCTTTACCAAACCAATGAACAGTTGCAGTCCTAATCCAAAAGACTCTTATAATTACAATTATCAAAAACATGAACCATCAGGATTTTGTTTTTATGTAAAGGGAATAGTAGATAAAAAAATTAAACCAATTATTTATACAAAAACCTCCGAAGATGAAGATATATCAAAAGTATTTGTAGAAAAACTTGCGGAAGTAACTAAAGGAATTTATAACGATTTTTATCAAAGACCAAAACCTCTTAGACTAACTAAGGAAGAACAAAAATCATTTGAGAAAGAAGTTATCTGCCATATTTGTAGTCGAGAATTAAGAAATGATAAAGTTAGAGATCATTGTCACTTTACAGGTCAGTATCGTGGAGCAGCACATAACAAATGTAATCTTATGTGTCGTAAACCAAGAATACTACCAGTTATATTTCATAATCTTCAAGGTTATGATGCTCACTTATTTATAAAACAAATTGCTAGATTAGAAGGAGATTTAAATTGTATTCCATCTACGGAAGAAAAATATATTTCTTTTTCAAAAAGTATTAAAGTTGGAGAGTATTATTGTTCAAAACTTGGAAAAATGCGCCCAATAAATTTTGAAATACGATTTTTAGATTCATTCAAGTTTCTTCAAACATCACTTGCCAATCTTGTTTCAAATTTATCAAAAGAAGATTTTCATAACACAAAACATATATTCAAGAAAAATGTAGATCTACTAACTCGTAAGGGAGTTTATCCTTATGATTATGTTTCATCACTTGATAAATTATCAGAAACACAACTTCCACCCAAAGAGGAATTTTACTCCCAACTTTATGATGAAGATATTAGTTATGATGATTACCAACATGCAATAAATGTTTGGAATACTTTTGAATGTAAAACAATAAGAGATTATCACAATCTTTATCTTAAATCTGATGTTTTACTGTTAGCAGATGTATTTGAAAACTTTAGGAAAACTTGTCTCAAACATTACAACCTAGATCCAGTTCACTGTTACACTTCCCCAGGACTAGCTTGGGATGCATGTCTAAAAGAAACAGGTCAGCATTTACAGTTATTACATGATTATGATATGTTAATGATGTTTGAACGTGGTATACGTGGTGGAATAACACACATATCAAAAAGATATGCTGAAGCGAATAACAAATATATGAAAGATTACAATCCTAATAAGGAGTCAACATTTATTCAATATTTAGACGCAAACAATCTATACGGTTGGGCGATGTCTCAAAATCTTCCAACACATGGATTTAAATGGATGAAAAATATTACAGTAGAAAAGGTAATGGATATTCTTGAGAAAGCAAATCATAGTATGTCAAATCTTGGGGAAAAAGGATTTATATTTGAAGTTGATTTAGAGTATCCTCCTCACCTATGGGAAACACATAATGACTATCCTCTTGCACCTGAGAAGATGATTATTAATGGTGTTGAAAAACTAATTTGTCATTTTAAACCCCGAAAAAATTATGTTGTGCATTATCGAAATCTTAGACAGTATCTTGAGTTGGGTATGAGGCTTACTGTTGTTCATAGAGGAATATCATTTTACCAATCTTCTTGGATGGAACCATATATAAGAAAAAATACAGAACTTCGAAAAGTAGCAGCTAACAGTTTTGAGAAAGACTTTTTTAAATTAATGAATAACTCAGTATTTGGAAAGACAATTGAAAACATAAGGAAGAGACAAAATATAGAACTTGTTGATAATCGTAAAAAAGCTGTCAAGCTAACAAGTAAACCCAACTTTGATAGAGTGACAATATTTGATCGCAATCTTATAGCGGTACATATGAAGCGAACAGAAGTGTATTTTAACAAACCAGTCTATGTTGGACAGGCAATTCTAGATTTATCAAAAACACTAATGTATAATTTTAATTATAACTATATTAAAGAGAAATATGGAAACAATGCAGAATTATTGTTTACAGATACGGATTCATTGATGTTTCAAATTAAAACAAAAGATTTTTATAAAGATATAAGTCCTGATATTTTAACCAAGTTTGACACATCTGATTATCCTCCCAATCATGAATCTGGAATACCAACAGGAGTAAATAAAAAAGTTATAGGAATGTTTAAAGATGAAGTTGCAGGAAAACAGATAACACATTTTGTTGGATTGCG